CAAAAGGACGCGGAAAACAGGACGCGAGACAAAATGACGCGGAAAAAAGGACGCGCGAAAAAAGGACGCGCGAAAAAAGGACGCGTGGAAAAAAGGACGCATATTATTAATGAATTACTATAAATAGTTTATTTTAATTGACATTAGCCATTACCCCCTTTTTATCCCCATATGTTATTACAGAAAATGATTCTACCTAACCTAAAATCGGTTACGGTAAGAGTAAAAAGTGAAAAATAATTATATGAAAAAAACTTGCCCTCACATTTTATCGAGGCTTAGGACTAAAATATCTTAAGTAAAATAATAAATACTAATATAATGTTGATTCAAGATTTCTGGTATTGAAACAGGTTAGATTCCATATTATCAGAATTATGTATGGGATTAGAAAAACCCAAGTACCAGCCCAGTAAGGGGTCTAATGAGGGCTTAACGCGAACCGAAAGGTTGGTAAATTCCGCAGGTAATGTTAAGAATGTAAATAGAAACGATTGATATCAGTCTGTTAAGATGGTGTTAGCGTTTGTGAAAAGCCAAAAAGGCAACAACTTGTTACTTTATAATGGATTACTCCATAAAAAAGAGCGAGTGATTGGTGAAAAGACAATTTGGAAGTGTGCTACTTATAATAAGTCCAAATGTACAGGACGAGTGCATACCGTTGTTGATGAAATTACAAAATCCACAGAACATAATCACGTTGCAGACACGGCAAAGATTGAAGCAAAAGAAGCTTGTAACCGGATGAAAGAAGTTGCACAACAACTGGAACACTCCAGCCAAGGTGTAGTAAGTGAAATTTCTCAAGGACTTTCCTTAGCTGCTACGGCACAACTTCCATCAGTGTCGTCGTTAAAAAAAAACTGTGCAAAGAGTTCGGAACGAGCTAGGAGGTACGCCCGCAAATCCGAGAAATTTAGAAGAACTTGTGCTTCCTGAAGAATATAAAACAACTACAGGCGGTGAGCTATTTCTATTATTTGATAGCGGGCCAGAAGAAGAACGTATTTTGTTATTTTCAACACAAAGAAATTTAAGATTTATGGAACAATGCGATCATTGGTATGCCGATGGAACATTTAACTCAGCACCACCATTGTTTTCTCAAATATACACAATTCATGGAGTGCGATACAGTAATGTAATCCCGACTGTATTTGCACTTCTAACGAACAAAACACAAGAGACTTATACACGTGTTTTTCAGCAACTAAAGGTGTTGAATCCGGCCTTGCGCCCTCTAACAATAATGATGGACTTTGAAAGAGCGGCAATGAATGCTGCACAAACTGAGTTCCCAAATGTGAGAATCCGCGGATGTTTTTTTCATTTCTCGCAGTGTATGTGGCGCCATATTCAAAGTGCCGGATTGCAACGTAGATATATTGAGAATCCTGACTTCGCCCTTCACCTAAGACAATTGACAGCTCTTGCGTTTGTTCCAGACAACCATGTAGTCAGAGTGTACGAGGAGTTGCTCAATAGCGATTTTTATACACAAAATGAAGAACTACTAGTGCCGCTGATTAATTACTTTGAAGACACTTGGATAGGGAGATTAGCTAGAAGAGGAAATCGAAGACAACCCCTTTTTCCAGCAAATGTATGGAATTGTTACGATTTGGCAGACCAAGATATACCTCGAACTAATAATGCTGTCGAAGGATGGCACAACAGCTTTTCTTCTCTTCTCAATAGTGCACATCCGAATATTTGGAAATTTATTAATTCTCTAAAAAAAGAATATGATTTAAATGTTTTGAAAATAGAGCAGTACATTTCGGGCAATGTACCTCCACGCAAAAGAAAATATCAAGATACAGCAAACAGGATAAGGGCTATTGTTGCCGATTATGCTGACAGGCCAACTTTAGAATATTTGAGAGGCATTGCTCACAATTTTCAGTTGCAAACATAAAAAAATACAAAAAAAATTAATATCAAAAATAAAACAAAAAAAAATAAAATGACAAAAAAATTCCAAAAAAAGCAAAAAATTAAAAAAAAAATAAAAAAAAACTTGTAAACACGCCAGCTTCTGCTGCCAGTCCTAAGCCTGGATAAAGTGTGAAGGCAAGTTTTTTTCATATAAATATTTTTCACTTTTTACTTTTACCGTAACCGATTTTAGGTTAGGTAGAATCATTTTCTGTAATTATATATAGGGGATAAACGGGGGTAATTGCTATTGTCAATTAAAATAAACTATTTATAGTATTTCATTAATAATATGCGTCCTTTTTTCCACGCGTCCTTTTTTCCACGCGTCCTTTTTTCCGCGTCCTTTTTTCGCGTCCTTTTTCCGCGTCCTTTTTTATGCGTCCTTTTTTCCGCGTCCTTTTGTCGGTATACCATATTTTTCTGGAGGTCCCTTTCGTTGGAAGCGCAAAACATAAGATCATCTGCGAATGCACATTCAGCTATACCAACCGGTCGTAGTTTACTATATCCGATATGTACTTTGTGTATACTTGCTTTTTTTTCCTTAATTATGTCGTCAATAATCAATATGAATAGTGTGGGGCTCATAACACCTCCTTGTCTTAGACCCTCGTTTATTGCAAACATCTCTGATTCCAAGTTATCCTTACGTACATAACTCTTGTTATTTTGATACAGACTTTTGATAGCACCTGTTAGTTGATGGTCAATATTTCTATTTTGCAGACTTTTCCAGACTGCTTCCTGGGACACTCTGTCAAATGCATTCTCAATATCTAGAAAAGCCATATATATTTCTGTGTTCTTTATTCTAGCCTTCTCAATTATTTGTTTTAACGTAAATATATGGTCTTGCGTACTGTGTCCCTTCCTAAACCCACTTTGTACTTCATCTAGATGTGGTTCAACGATGTGTCTTAATTTCTTTTCTAGGATGCTTTCATATATTTTGGAGACGATACTAGGTAGATTAATTCCTCTATAATTTTCACAAGAACTTGGGTCTCCTTTCTTAAAGATTGGTAGTATTATGCCAATTCTCCAATCTTCGGGGACTGTACATCGGTTCCAAGCCATGTTCATAATTTTGGTTAAAAATTCAACTCCTTTCGGTCCCATTGTCTTTAACATTTCTGCAGTGATTTTGTCATGACCAGCCGATTTACCTCTCATTGTGTTGTTAATTGCTTCTTTAACTTCTTCTATTTGAATATAATTTTCTTGTCCATGTTCTCCTTCTACTTCTATCATTACAGTTTCCTCTTTCGGCTGTCTTGGTGTTAGGAGTTCGCTGAAGTATTGTCTCCATCTTTCCATAATCTCATTTGGTCTGGTAATCAGTGCGCCGTCTTTACTTTTCACCTGTTTCATCGTTGTTTCTTTACCTTTTCTTAGCGTCTTTAGTGCCTTGTAAAACAGTTTTTGGTTACCCCGGCTATCTGCCTCCATCTTCATTCCAAACTCATCCCAGGCTTCCTTCTTCTTCTTCAGCACCATTTCTTTCACCACCTTTCTTTGTCGTTTATATTCTTCGTAACTACTTTCTGTTCTCTTGTTTAAATATATTTTCCATTTCTGTTTTTTATATTTTATTTGGGCTTTTAATTCATCGTCCCACCATCGTGTTTGCTTCTTATTTCTGTTTACATGGTTTATTTATTCCACACGTTTCTTTTGCTGTCGTCACGATGGTTTCTTTAAATTGTTTCCAAGTTTCCTGTAAGTTGTCAGTACTATGTGCATTAGTTAATTTGGCTAGTTTTTCTTCTATTTTACTTTTGAACATGGCCGCGACTTTTTGATAATTTAGTTTATAGTTTTGGATATTCTCGTTCACTTTATTATTTTTTGTTCTTTGTTGAGTGGTTTTAGGGGTTTTTTGGGGTAATCTTATCTTTGCCATTACCAGATAGTGGTCACTATAGATTTCCGGGCCTCTTTTAACTCTGACATCAGTGACCTCTTTCCTAAATTCTCTATTAATGAGAACATAATCTAGAATTGATTTTTCATTTCTGCTCCTGACTTCTCTCGTAAACTTGTGTATATCTTTGTGTTCAAAAAATGTGTTGGTGATAATCAAATTATTCTCCATGCAAAAGTCTATCATCCTTCTTCCATTATCGTTTCTTGTATCTTCTCCCTGCATACCGATAATATCTATGTTATCATCGTCTCTTTTACCAACTCTGCTATTCATATCGCCTAGAATGACTATTCTACCTTTCACATTTTCTATGGCATCATTGAGCTCTTCCCAATATTCTTCTTTAACTTTCAATGGTTCGTCATCATTCGGGCCATATGTGACTAATATAGTTGTTATTTCTGATTTATTTAGTGTTATCTCTATCTTTAAATTTCTTTGTGATATACATTTCCAATTTTTAACATATGACATATAACTTGCTCTCATTAGGCATCCTACACCTTCTGCCGCTCTACTATCGATACTGACTCCGCTGTACAAGAATACATGTTCTTTATCCAATTCATCCATTCCTTGGCCTTTCTTTTTAGTTTCCGTGATCGCCAAAAAATCTAATTGTGCTTTGTCAAATTCATCTATTAATTCTCTCTCTTTTCCATTAAGGCTTCTGACGTTCCACGTAGCCATTTTTATGTACTTTTGTAGTCTGTTTGCCCCTTGATCTTGTATTATATTTTCTTTTTTGTCCAATTCAATTATCTCGTTAGACCTTATTCTCGCCTTGTTTGGTATTCTATGTTGATCAGTTCTATTTGGCCGATGGTCTGCTATTTCTTCCTGGCTTTGTTGAGAGCCTTCATCTCCCTGTTCCACGTCCATACTTCTCCATTTATTATAAGTTTTTGAAACCCCATTTGGACTGTATTCCCTTTACTCTTTTCTTCCTTAGCTTTAGCTCTAATTTCTTTTTGAATAATTCTCTGCTGTTCGCCCATATCATCATTTATATATACTTTGTGTTCTCTAATATTTCTTAGTTTGGCTCTATTGTTCATAAGTGTGTATTTTTGGTTACTATCTTTTAGTTCTAATAAACAGGTCTTTTCTCCTATTTTAATTGCCCTTTCTATTTCAATCTCAATTCTACGTTATTTGTTTCTATTGGTAGTCCCTGAATTACTACATTATTTCTTCTTTTTTTGTTCTCAAGTCTATCAATTCTGTCCAATGCTTGTATAAGATCTTTCTTGATCTCTTGATTTTCTTTTCTGATTTGCGTATTTTCCTTTTTCAAATCTTGAATTTCTGTTAGACATTTTTTTTGTTCTTGTTTTATTTCCTTCATTTCTGCTTCTATAAATCGTTGCCTTGGATCATATCCATTATTTTTCCTGAGTTATCTTCTTTTTTCTCTTTTATGTCTGGATATCTTTTAGTTTTTACGCACTTTCCAAAACCAAATGTTTGTGAGCCTTTCCTTCTTTTGCCCTCATCCGTGGTGTACTCGTCTTCACTATCCATTGCTTTCTAATTGTTCTCGTGATATTAGCTATTCAGTTCAACTACCCAATCGCGTAAAAAGTAGACCCCGGTCAACCCGTCGTAAGTCTTGCTTTTATCGATCGGTTTTCTATTAAGCTGTGGTTTTCTTCACAATAAAATGTATAATTCTGTTCTCTTTAAATTCTTTACTATTTTTGCATTACGGCAACATCGCTTTTCTACCGGTCAGAATCCCGTGGTCGAATTAGTTCTTTTGCTCTTATCGCTAAATTAAACAACAGAAACTGGTCGTATCGGAATAACTCATTTTGCTTATTATTGTTTGTAATTAGCCACTTACTATCGGTTTATTCACACTGCGATACGCGTTGTAACTTTAAACACACTTATTGCTGCTTTGGCACAATTATTTCACTCTGCACTTCTCGATTTTCGGGTTTAATGCAGGAGCAAGCCAATTGCACTTCATACGCTTGACCACAGCGTTGCCAAGTCCTAGATCCATACTACAGCATTCAAATTTTGAATCTAACTTAGCTTTGGCTTTGTCATTTTTCTTGTGCTCTCTGGTCTCTTCTTTGCGTATTAGGTGCAATTTGTATTTTTCTTCATCTGTTTTTTTCTCTTCTGTCGACTTATTTTTGTATTGAGTGCAAAAGTCGCCCTGGTCTTTTTTGGGAACATGGAAGCCATAATTGAATTCATTTGTGAAAATAGATTTATAGAAACTAGCTTTTTCGGGAACTACATTACGCTCCCTACAGTATTCTACATAATCTAAGTAGAGCCGAGTTTCACTCAGCCCAGAAGGCAAGTACATTCTCTTACTACTGCCGATATAGTGGGAAGCAACAACGGGTAGTGATTTGATGTGATCCCTAATCAAGTTTTTTACTTCATCGCTTTTTTTGTTGGGGGGTTCTTTTTTACTCCTATGGTCTATTTTTGTAACACCTGTAGGAGCCAACTTTTCCACTGAAGTTCGAACTTTTTTTTCAGAAATATCATATGTTCCCAAAAAAAATTTTTTACAGACTCTATGGTTTGTTCCATTAATACTAATAGAATATTCTAAGGTTCGTTTGCGTCGATTATTATCACCCATGTACCTTCTTTTTACAGGAACACTTGTCACTTGTTTACCAATAAACGACCATCTACCTCTTTCAGTTTCCAAAGTTAGGTAGTCGGCCAACAATTGTTCCCGTATTTTCCTGTTAATATTAGTAGTGCACTTGTAGTGACATTTGCAGTCAACTACTTGCACGGTTTTAATACGAACCTTTGCTCTGGTTTCGTACTTACTGCCTGCCATCCTTAACTTTTTTTTAGCATTTCGTTTCCATTTCTCTGGATTTCGCTGGCGCTTCCTACTAAAATTTTCTGTTGGTAAATCGGAATTAGTAATCCCATCATTAGCCTGTAACAAGTAATATTAGATATTATTTGACAAGATTAAAGTAATCGGGCTGTGGTTTAAATGATTAACAAGTTGTTATAGGTAAAAATAAGAGACATACCTTTAGAGTCTGTGAGTGTTATAACAATATTATTAGGTTCGGTATATTGAGCATTAGATTCATCATGCTTTTGGATGTCAGTCTCGGACGCTGAATATAAGTTTTCTGTAAAGTTCTCAAAGACACCTGTAAAATGCAAGATTTATAATATTAGTAATAGGAAAAGTTTCTACAACAAGCAAAATAATATTAAAAGTACCTTCAGAGTGTGAGCTTCGAAAAACATGAATAATATCAGCATATTCCGTTAGTTCATTTAATTCGTCAGGCTTTTGAATATGAAGTCCAAGCTCTGCATATTCCTTTTGTGCAATATTCTTATCATTAACTGTAAAAATAAAAGATTCATATTATAATAAAACGAAAGCCCAATGGCCCAGCTCAAATATAGCTGTATATATATATATATATATATATATATATATATATATATTATATATATATATATATATATATATATATATTATTGTGATATTTAAAGTCTTGATGCGCCAAGCAATTAATTAGCTAATTAATTAATTAATTAATTAAAATTATTTAAATTATATGATTATGACTCTATCACACTTTTTAATTCTCTTATCTCAGGGTTAAATTCGTGCTTCAATATCTATGCTATTACATGTGAAAGGTAAGGTCCAAAGAATACCGGAATAATAAAAAACATATATGATCTAACATTATATATTGAAATAAAACTAATGAAATAAAATTCACACTCAAATGTTTTCAATAAACAATATCTCATATACTGATTCTCAAAATTTTGTTCTACGTACGTGAACCTTCAAAATTAATGGTACAAACAATATTAGTTGAAATCTCAAAATCCTAAATATTATTCTAAATCTCCTAATCAAAATATTTATATCCTTTCTAAATTAAGTGTAAAATTGTGTTATCAATAAAAGAAAAACTGCAGAAACAAAACTATCTCTGATGATGAGTGGTCCAAATCCTTGTTCCTTATAGACTATATTATCTACACTCGGCCGCTCCCTAGGTAATCAGCAATCTTACAACAAATTATTGCAAGTTTATCGTCCTTAATGATCTCCTTCAAATGCACGAAACGTTCAAATTATGCTAGCTTCTTCTTCTCTCAATAAACTGAATCTCTCGTTGGCCTGAGTGAAAAATGACTCTTGGAATATCTTTTCTTTACGATAAACTGAATCTCTCGTTGGCCTGAACAGTGACTCTTGGAATATAAGTAGAAAAATATGACTTACAATCTTTTACTGGATCAGCTTCTGTCAGATACACTAACTACACGAAAACTCACAAACTTTCACTGCTACTGCTTCCTACCTCTGGGAAACTACCCGAGAAACAACGGCCGTTCGCCTTGCACCCTTGGAAACCAACTGATTATCTTTTCTCTCTCCTAAGTATAGCTAAATTTTCATTCCTACATACCTATCCCACCTTTTTCAATCTCCGCCAATCAAAGCTCGTCACAATTCCAACATTTTTTCATTTCGATAACAAACAAATTTTTACCTATAATTATAAAATTTCCTAAAACTTATTTACAAATAATATTTTTCTACAATTCTTAAAAACTAACAAAAACCTCTTTCTAAAATCTATTCTATTGTCCTTAATCACTGCATTAATGTATTTGAAAAACCCGGTTCAATTGTCTTTGGATTTCACTTAAAATTATGCGGGTCACTCAAGTATAACAAAGAAATAATTTATGCATAGCTTACATTTTGTTTAATACAGGTAATCCAAAAATTTAAAAACTTTCTTTCTTCGAAATGTTTGTTGGTTATTATCCTACTTATCTGAATTATTTTAATGTTTTTGAACTTTGAAATATTTTAATCAAACCAATATTTTTCTCGATTTTACATATCATAACAATATATATATATATATATATTATATATATATATATATATATATTATATATATATATATATATATATATATATATATATATTATATATATATATATATATATTAATATATATATATATATATATATATATATATATATAATATATATATATATATATATATATATATATATATATATATATATATATATGTTACGAGCAAAGCCCGAAATTGGGCAATCCTAACATTGTACGGAAATTATTGTCCACTTCTAGCATTGTACCCCCAAACTGTACAATGTCCGAAATGATCAAATTTAAAAATGATTATCGAGACGCTTATCGATTCGAATCGATTATTATTGACAAGCGACACGTCAAATCAAAAATCGAACATTTCTTGTTAATTATTTGATATTTTTTATTTTCTATTTACATACAAAGTTGTACTTTTTCGAATAGACATCGTTATAAAATGCTGTCTCAAACTAAAATATAAATAATACGAAGAAATTGTTCTGCAATAGAGTGATAGATAAAAGTAGGTATATAAAAGTTCCGTTGAAGAAATGAAGGAAAGTTTTGTATTTGGCAGTGTTGTCATGTCGTTTTAATAAATCGCGAAAGAGCATACGATATAATATTAATTAATTTTATTAAACATTATTTTTAAGTTTATAAATGAAGTTTAATTAAATTTTATTTAATATATTTCAAGTTCCAGCAACTAACTAATAGATTAATTTAGGATTTATATCGCAATTGATGTTTGTTTGTCTTTAATATCAAATGGGGAATAATCATAAAAATAATCGATATCTGTCATATTCTTCCAAACTTTGACGCATTGCTACTTATCGACTTATTGAAATTCGAACATTGTACAGCAATTCGTTTATACAAAGTCCGACGATTATGTCTATTTCGGAGATTGTACAGTAAGGGGGTACAATGCTAGAAGTGGACAAGATTTTCCGTACAATGCTAGGATTGTCCAATTTCGGACATTGCTCGTAACATATATATATATATATATTATATATATATATATATATATATATATATATATTATATATATAATATACTAAAGCTAAACTATAAATCAAACCAGTTGTAACAGTGTACATGGCCTGTTGACTAGATTGAACAGAGCTTTTCTCCTTTATCCTCTGTTCTGATTGTCCCATTTCCATAATGTTCTCATTGGCACTATCTACAGAAAAAAAATTAAATATAAATATATTTCTTATTATAAGAATTGTACAGTTAATGTTTGCCTGACTTAAAAGATATTGGTGTCAAAAAAAAGAGAAATAAAAAATACCTATAGAACTGCTGCTTGAAATAACATTAATAAGCTCAGCATATGTGGCTTTTTCAATAGTTTCGTAAGAGCCGTGAGTCACAAGCTCCGCCTCTGAATACCCGGGTTGTGCAATTGTTTTGTCAGCAACTATAAATAGAAATAATAAATAAAATAATATAATTAGAAAATACTCCATACAATACAGAGTATGGCTTTAATGATCATACATATAAAATTTGTTACAAATAAAGTAAATTAAAATACCTTTAAGTTTGGGCTTAGAATAACATTATAAAGCTCAGAAACCAAAATATTTTCATTCTAACTGGTTTTTAATTGCATTTTAAATATTGGACGCATTGTCGGAAACCGACAAAATAATTTTCTGTTAAAGTCCCCACTCGTGAGTTAACTATTTTAATTTCTGTGATAAATTTGTACTTGTGTGCGACTTGTCAAAAACATTGTTTGTAATTTAAAATTGTTGTCAATAAAGTGTAATGTGACACCCATGAAATTTTCATTGTTCATAGATGTTGGACAACAATCTGTTGCTAACGAAACGGCTAATTCTTTAGCTAATTCTTTGCAATCCAATAGGCACTGGTCATATATACTCGATATATGAGTTTTTGAAAGGACTCACCTACTGGGAATTTCGTAAAATGGATTTAATGCCTTTGTATATTGGCGAAAACCCTCATCTTCAACAACGCTGAAAGGTTGAAAATGGATGTAAAAAAGCTTTAAAAGCGGTGCATCAATTTGACTTTTTGATTTAGAATTTACTTTTTTGTGGATAAAAGTAGATATTTTTGTTTGTGATCTATAAGTTGAGATCTTCAGATGTGAGAATGTAGAAGCAATGGATTCACAACAAAAGAAAAACAATAATTGTGTAATTTATTATTTTTAAAGAGGTAAATGCTTTTTACCAATATTTTTATTCGATTAATCCAAACCAACCAATTTGTTTAAAATGAGTAATTGCCACTGAAATCGTGCCCTGAATTGTAAATAAGAATTGTTCCCTAGAACAATTGATTGTACTCTGATAGATTCTCCAGGTGGTCAGGATGCAGAAATTTTTAGGTACAGAATATCATTTTTTGCATTGAACGTCCAGACAGCGAGTGCTGAAAAATTAGGGATATTGTTGTAGGATATCCAGGATCTGTACATGATCAGACAATTTTTAATAATAGTAGACTGAAGCATAATTTTGAAAGTGGTATGTTTGGCCATTATTTGTTGGTTGGTGACAGTGGATAACCATATCTAATGACTAAATTGCAGCAAACATCAACACCTGCTGAGGATTTATTTAATGAATCAATCATATCGTCGGTTAAGAGTGTTAACCTTTACCAGAATGGTAAAGTTTTCAGGAGACAAAAAAAACCTGTTAATTTATCCAAAACTAATGTTGTCGAAATTTTTTTGTCACAACTATTTATTAACTATAGTATATGAGTTATTTAACTACTTTTCTTCAAATGATGTTCGTACATTTAGTTTACGGAACTAAAAAATGGAGTTGGCAGATTTTCGAAAATATATGTTGAACACCATCTGGAGTTGGCAGTAATTTTACATGAAAGATTAAGAAACGGTTTTATTTTTATTTATGTATTCACGCCAGAATATAACATAGCTTTAATACAATAATCAGTATCGTTACAAAATTTATACTAGTTGACACTACAAAAAAGCAAAACTTGTAAAATTTAAACTAAAAATTGTAATAGTTATTACATCTACCGTTATTCGTGAGGAATATTGTCATAATATTCATGGTAGTCTACCGGTAAAGTACATTTTAGTTCTTGTAAATCTGTATACTTTTTAGTTTTTATTTTTAGACGGTTTACATGCAGACTATCAAGTTCACGCCAAGAACAAGTCTCCATAGGCTTTGGTATACGCTGTGGTAGAATCTCCCATTCGTCATTAAAGCGCAGTTTAAAAAAAATTAGTCCATTTGCAGTGTACTTCAGACTGCGAATATCGGTTACCTAAAATAGAAAATATTAAATAACATGTAAAGTAAATAGTGGCGAGGATATAACTTACTTTAGGGTCTCCCTTCCTCTTGCCAGGTCTAATTCTTTTAACTAATTCAACCTTTTTAAAAGATTTGAAGAACAAATGATCCAAATACTTGACTGTGTATGGTCCAGGTTTCTTCCTCGCAATTTTGGAAAAGTGTGCATAATCTGCAGGTACATTAATTATCTTATTCTTTACGCAACGCTCAATAGTAGAATGCATTGCATCTACCTCCATTTGCGTGTGCCCAACCTCTAGGTATTTCTGTATAATACTTATGTTATATATTTTTGCCAAATTCACAGCTGCGTTGGACAGTACGGCGTTACGGTTTTGATATGTACAACCATCGCTATACATAATGATTTCTGGATTTTGCTCGCTTGGATTTATAAGTGGTATTGCATAGTTTTCCATAAAATGATGAAAGCAGGAGGCAAATTCTTCGGCGGATAATCCTCCCTCACTCTCATTCCATGTATAACAGTAGCCATCTTTTGTTTGTAGATTAAAAAAACAGAGGTTGTACACACATAATTTGGTCTGATAATATAAACTACTTATATTAGATTTTGGCGACAGCAGGACTGCTTGAAGGTCCATTGCATATACATGACGTTTATTATTGAAATCATTGTGTTTTTCAATCCTTGCCTCTTTTTTTTTAATAATATGTAAGTTGTACTCAGTTTCAGAAACATGGTTATTCTTGTAATCAGCACATAGCCCACACTCATCCTTTTTAGGCCGGAAAAGAGACAGATTTTGTGTATTAAACACGTTATTGAACGTAAACATATATAATGGAGCTATATTGTTTGCACTACACCAATCGTTAACGTAAAGTTTATATAGTTCTTGTTTTGAAGACCACTCTGGTAAAAGATACTTTTTGCTCGTAGAAGCTCTACAATAATGTGACTCCATACACGGTAGAGAATTAAAAAAATCTGTTAATGCCGTATGTTCGCTTTCAAATGGATTTTTACGACTTCTGTTTTGTCTATAAACGTTGGGCTTTTGCTTAGATGCATAATCACTGCATTCCAATGGTAATGAAAAGGAAAATTATTTTTCCAATTTAATAATGTCCATCTGCCAATACCTGTCGTATTTACATACATTTTGCGGCATACTCTAATATCTGTGTCGTTGCTTCGAAGATAATACATTAACGATTGTTTTCGTTTAGATTTTTCTGGGTCTTTTCTATCTCTCGGTCTATTTATAGCAGTCGATTTTACAGTATTATCTACAAATACTTTTTTTTCTCCCCAGCTTAAATTCCAGAAATACTTAAATATTACATTTCTCTCTTCCTCAGAAATTTTATTACACTTAAGTAATCCATTTGCTTTTGTCTTGCAACAACATCTTTCTTTTAATTCTCGGGGTGTTTTCTCCATATCATAGTTCCACTTTCCATTTATTTTTTGTCTTCCAAAATAGCTCTTACCCATTTTCCGACGACTTTCATTTTTTTTCAGAATACCAGGTCTTTTATTAACCTGAAACCTCTTTTTACGTTTTTTGCTTTTTTCTGGAACATCATAGCTGTCAGAATCCGAACGGTCAGAGTATGGTACTAAAGGCTCAAAGAAATCACTGTCATCTGATATGGCATCTTCATTCCACTGATATTCAATATGTGAAACATCACCAGTTGCTGAAAAATTTTCGGGATTTTCGTTAAGGTCCATGCGTTCATCTGAGAAAATATCTTCTGGTATATCTCGAGTAAAGTCCAGATCATTGTTATTTGGTTTTTCCAATGCGACTACAATATTTCGGTCATAATAATTGAGAAGTTCAGTCAGTTCTGTATCATTATAACTTAGGTTTTCTGTACGAGGTGTCTCATTGTCACTTCCAACATTTTTAACAATATATTCTTTTCCACTAGTTTGAGCAATACCATTTATCTCATCAGCTAACTTAAGGATTTTACTTGCTCTAGACATCTGCAATAGAATTAGAACAATGATTTTTACAAATTCTAAAAAAACAGTTTTTAATATTTTTGTACTTTAATATTTTTATATTATTCTCTTTGGATTTATTACATTATTAAATATCATGTTTTAACGATATCAACCCCTTTCAACTACCACGTTTCCCTCGCCTGGCCGAGAAAATAAAAAAATAGATTGCCCCCAAAATATTTCTTCTTAGGAATTTGGACACATTAAACGGTACAGCCGTATTTCTGATAAAACCACTTATACGTCATAGTTTCCTCGTAAAAACCCATTTAGTCGTAAAACAGGAATGGGATTGATGGCAAATTAGAAAGTTTAACACTAATTTCTAGAAATTTTAAAATAACTTTGAACTAATGGAATTACTTCTAACAACAATCACATTAAGAAAATCTGCTATGTACTTAGATTGTAACATAGGTAGATAAGTAAAATAAACGAATTGCTGCTAACTCCATCTTGTTCGATTTTAGCAGTTTTTAGCATGAATATAATTATTTTTCTTATCATATGTTAACTAAACAATGAAATACACTTACCTCTCTATCAAAAATACGAAGAACACAAATTTACCTTAATATTTCTTTGAAAAACTACGATTTGCATCTCACAAGCACGTGGTCACTTGTTGCCTGCATTAGTTATACTGGAGATGGCAGTGTTGCGCTATGAAAAATATCACTATGGAGAAAGCAGGATAACGTGCACTTAAAATTTTGTTATTTCTAAACTATATTGGAGTTAGAGGGTTTGTGAGATGATGTATGAAGGTATAAAGATTCAGAATCCGCTAAAATGTCATTTTAGATAAAAAACGCAGTTAGCAGGTTAACACTCTTAGCCGACGATATGAACAAGAAATGTAGTAAAATAGCAATATGGTTTGTGGAAAAGATTTCCTATACTCCGTTTAGGAACGAAACTAAAATTAGAAAATACCATGGCCGTGATTGTTGCAACATTAGTGCTTTTCAAATAATGAAAATATGTCAGAAAACATAAGAACTTTGCTAATAAATGAACACTTTGGTAGATTGTAAATATATTTATTAATAAAAACAAAATATAATAAATTTTTTTATTTATTCATTTTCTCCCAATTGTTTTTGTTTTAATTTTATGTCTAAATCCATTAACTTTACATTTTTTTCATATAGATTTGTTCCCTTTCTTCCTTCCTCTTCTGCTTTATCATTCTTCTTTTTCTGTTTCATCCTTTTTCTTATTTCTTCTTCTTCAGCTTTAAATGTTCTCAGGAGAAGTCTATATTTTCTCTTGTAATATTGTTCTTTTGCAGAAAAAACTGGATTTATAATTTTTGGCAGTAATTTTTGTTTCTGGGTGTTTGTAACATATGTACTCCAATTTGTTTTTTCCTCTGGTTTGGACTTCTTACTTAATTTGTCAGGTACTTTTTCTTCCTACAACAAAATATAGCATTTCAATGTTTTCTTCTGGTGTTTAATGTATACAAATGATGTGTGGGTGGGAAAAGGGGGTGGAGGAAACACTAAAGTAATGGAAACCGGCCCTTGAAGAACATTGATTAAAGCTGAGTACAAAAGAAGAGTATTTGGAAGTTATTTTAAAGATGGTATTTCAATTCCAAATAGCTTAGCTTGGATGGAGAACTTGAAGAAAGTGACAGTTTTAGATATTTAGGATTGGTATTACAGAGGTAGGTAGATTCGTGAAAGGTCACTTTAGTCCTGGGAAGAAATAGAAGAGAAATGCTAAAAGAGATGTAGTGGGTGACAATTAGTCAGAATATGGATGTAAAAGGTATTCATATTGATATGGCACAGGATACAAAAATATGGAGGAGAATAATTAAAGAAGCTAACCCTGCATAGTGAGAAGGCAAAGAGAATGATGATGGATGGCATTTACACTATATAGTTTTTAGGATGCTTTAAGATGATATTAGTTTTTTATAATTATATAGAGGCATAGGAGTGATCAACTTCAGTTATAATTATTTCAGCATCCTAAAAAGTAATGTTTAATTAGGAACATATTGTCTAAATAAAATAGGATTGTCAGGGTATCGCTTAAAAATGATATCTGGAGATGCCTGAAATGAGAGACATATTAGGTAGTTCAATGATAGGTAGTACATTTTTAAAATAAGAGCTAATAAACAGATAAATATATAGCCATCAGATCTTTACGGACTACAAAATGTCTACCCTGACAATCCCATTCAATTTGAACTATAAATATATTACTTTAAAATTTAATCTCTCTCTTCTTCAATCCTGAACCCCCAGGGGGAGTGTAGTGGTCGACGTGATGTCGTGTATTGTCCGTCTCCAGAGATCTCTGTCTCTGGTCATTTCTTTTAATTCATGCATAAAATTTAATACTTACTAGTATTTGCTGATCCATTTCATCATTGTCTATATACACTTTTTCTTCTGAAGTTATTTTCTACAAAAATTGGTAAATCAGATAATTGAAGGAAACAAATATTGATTGAATGAAAAATATAGTAACAATATTGGATATAATATAATATACAGTACAATAGATTTCAGTAAAGTTGTGTTGTGTGTGTGTGTGTGTGAGAGAGAGAGAGAGATGGCATTAGACAAAGAATCTTTTTTGCCACAGAAAATTGTTATAAGGATGTTTAAATTTTTATTTTAGAATCGTTTATAAACTTGATTAGAATATTATATATAGATTTGTCAGAATAAGATAACAGATTGCTGATGTTAACTGGGAGGCTAATATTTAGATCAATCAAACCTAAATATAGTCTTCGAGTCTGTTCCCTATGATTAGAACAATCGAAAAATAAGTGATTCAAATCTCCGATAGATTTATTATTACAAGGACAGAAAGGAGTTTCATAGATTCCAATCCTATGCAGATGCTCTGGAAAGAGGCCATGGTTCAGTTTTAGCCGCGTTATTAACGAAGAATGTACTTTTTTAAAGTTAAGATTGAATGGGGAATATTTTTTGGTAAGCATGGGTGAATAGAAAAGTAATGGTTTCTAGAAGTCTTCTGAACCTCTTTATATTTTGACATCCATCTTTCCCTGCCAATACTCCTGATAATAGAAAAAAGATCTTTAAAGTAGTAAAATTTTGTAATTTCGGATATCTCAGATGTATTTTTTGCCATACTGTCCACCAATTCGTTTCCAATTACTCCATTGTGTCCTTTAACCCAGAGAAAAGTAACTGATTTGTTTGTGGATTTTAGATCATATAATGATTTTTTGATATCAAGTATAATGGAGTTTTGAAAACTATCTAATGGATTGCTACGAATAGCTTGTAATACTGCCTGAGAATCTGATACTATTACGATGTTCTCACAATAATTAGTGACACACCAAGATAGTGCTTTCTGTATAGCAGCAGCCTCGGCTGTAAAAATAGAACAACATTCAGGAATTCGATATTTCTCAACATAGTTGCTGTTTGAAACAAAAAAAGCGAAACCAGTACTTTCAACAGTTTTTGATCCATCTGTATAAATTATTGTTAAATCTTCCCCTAATTTGCTTAGTATGGATTTGAATATCAGATTAGTTAAAATTGGCAAGTCTGAATAAGAGGGCATTATAATGGTTGGTTTGTCTATCAGAACTTCAAAGTCTTGTACGTAAAAAGGAAATTTTGGTAGCTGTAATATATAAGATTGAAATGAATTCGTATCGATAAAAGATTCTGCAAGAGGAGGAGAATTTTTTATTCTCCAATAAGGATTTGTTAAATTTTCTGTCAAAAGTAAACCTATTTTGTGAACCATAGTTGTATTAAACGATCTGTACGTTATTAGACGTTTGTTGGCTAACATTTGCCTACGTATGAATAAAGGTGGTTCCTGGGCTTCTGCTAGAACTGCTTGGTTTGGTGAAGACATCATAGCCCTAGACAAATTTTTATTGATTTAAATTGTATTCTGTCAAGAGTTAATAGATTTGTTTTGCATGTTGAACCGTAAAGAATACAACCGTAATCCAGAATGGATCGTATGTAGGATCTATAAAACATTAAAGAGATATTTTGATCTGCACCCCATCTTTTTTTAGAAACGAAACGCAGAAGGTTAATTCCACGCTCGCACTTTTGTTTTACATACTTTACATGACTAGACCACAAGAGCTTTTTATCTAGGATCATGCCTAGATACTTATACTCTTCTGCTAAGGAGAAATTAAAATCACCTATCTGGCATTTGCCTGCGACTTTTTGTCTACGTCTAGTGAAACATACAATCGAAGATTTTTCTTGTGATATACTAAAACCCATTTGTTTCACCCACTTATCTATATTACTAAAGCTAAGTTTTAGATTCAACATACAATCTTCATAGGATTTATGGCTGGTATATAAACATATATCATCTGCATATTGAATTATTTTGCATTTTTCATCCATCAAACCATGCAGATCTGCAGTATAAACATTAAACAATAAAGGACTTAGAATTGAGCCTTGTGGGAGACCGTTATATAATATTCTTGGACCGTGTAATACATTTCTATGGTCCCGTAAGTATATTTTTCTATTCACATACAAATTTATTATATTTACAGATAATCTTTTATCAATACCGCATGCCACCATTTTTGAATATAATATATCCAAATCAACCACGTCATATGCACCCTTTAAATCTAGAAACAAACATAGCATGAATTCGTTTTTTGAGAAACAGAGTTGAATATCCGTAACTAAATGTACGAGAGCATCAATGGTACCTCGACCTCTACGAAATCCATACTGTGAGTAGGGAAAAACTGAACGGCTTTCAATAAGATGTTCTAATCTAAATTTTATAAGCCTTTCAAAGGATTTTGTCACACATGATAATAAAGAAATGGGTCTATAAGATGAAGGAAGTTCTGGGTTTAAGTTAAATTTGAGTAAAGGGCATATCATAATATTTTTTAAAGTATCGCTATATTCTTGTTTCAACCACCAACTATTAAATATTTGTAAGAGAACATCTTTGGCATTTGA